TCTCTCTCTCTCTCTCTCTCTCTCTCTCTCTGTCTGTCTTCCTCTATTTCCCACTCTTTCTCTTTGTTTTGCTATCCGTTGCTCGCTCGTGTTCGTTCGTTCGTTCAAACTTTCCGTCCTTAACATCCTCATTTTCTCACTTGGTTCTTTTTCATTCTTATTCTCACTTGTTCATGTACATTCTCTCTCTCTCTCTCTCTCTCTCTCTCTCGCACACACACACACACACACACACCCATCCACACACGCTCTATCTCTTCCTCGTTCCCTTCCATCAGCTCCCTCACCCCCTCTCTCACTCTTTTACGGACAGTTGATAAGACGAAATATGCACAGGATTATGAAAAAGTGAATAATACAAGGCAGAAAGTGAAGGGGAGGAAGTCATGCGATAATCGTCGGTACTGCTCCAGTAGTAAAAACTTCCGGGCGTGACTGATTTATATTTTTTCGGTGCGCGAGACTATTGCCGCTCAATCAGGAACTGTCAATTGAGAAATATTAATTAACATTTTACTATTTTTTTTAATTGATGGTCTTACTTGATAATTATAAAGCCATTGTTTATTGGATTGGCATGGCTTATAATTTCGATACTTAAAAGATCTTTGAAAAGTGTTGTTTAATTTGTGCGGTGGAAGTTTTAATCAGTACCATTGTTTTTGTAATGATTAAACACATGAGCAGATCATACTGATGCGGGTGCGAGTGCAACGTCAGAAGCTTCTAGACATTTGCATCGAGTGAACATTTTGCTATTGTGGCGGGACGTTTTTCTTGTGTGGCATGGCGTGAGCGAAGGGAGAGGGTAAGGAATGGAACATGAAACAATACAACATAAATAGAGAGTAATACACATGCAGAGCATAGTTTGCTACGAAGAGTGAGAGAGTGAGAGAGAGAGAGAGAGAGAGAGTGAGATAGAGAGAGAGACAGAGTGAGATAGAGAGAGAGAGAGAAAGAGAGAGAGACAGAGCAAATTAAAGACGATTACGATGCTAAGTGAGAGAGTGAAAGAGATTATTTCCATTTCTTATTTGTGCTTAATATAAATGGTACTGAGAACGACAGGCCTACGCACGTGTTCAACTACAGCGGACATCGAATTCATCGCACAGCCAGTCGAAGAATCAGAAGTTAGCAAAAATTCTTTGTTTTTTTTTTTATATTAATTATTATATTAATAATCATTATTAATATTATTAACGTTGATGATAAAAAAAAGAAATATCATATCATATTCGCTACGTCATGTTAGTTGTCTCAGAGATGTAATGACTCAGTAGAAACTGATTTTTTCTTTTCTTTATATCTTTTTTTACTTTTATAATTTTTATTGCTGAGATTTTTTAATGCATTCGGTAGTCCAGCAAAAGTTATCAGTTTTAAAATAAATTAAAGAGACTGATAAGGTTTGCTTACGACAATATGGAATTTACAATAATTAATTATTACCTTTGCCAGCAAGAGAAGCAAAGTGATATATGTTTTTTGATGAAAAGATATTTTAAATTAGAAAGCAGTTTTTATTGAATTTTTTGCATCATTATGTCAAAGAAAGCACTAATGTTTGTTTCATATTCAAAATTAGCAATATTTAATTTTATTTCAATACTATTGCCACACACAGGCTACTATTACTATTGGTTACTGCATGTGTGAAAACATAATCAGCATTATTGTCAGATAGAACCATCTCATCGAAAGTCGATAAAATTAATATGCTCTCAGCAGAAAGAGTCGTTTCTGAAGTATCAAGTCGTTTATCTGAGCGTCTGTGCCAGTGTCGTCTCGGAGAGACGCGAATGTGAGAGACGTGAATATGGTGACGCCCATCTCGCGTTACTGCCAACGGGACAAGTCACCTAGCCATAAGCGATTTTCCCTTTGGTAGCGACGCGTGGCGGCTCTGCGCTCGCCTCAGGTTAGTCTGTCGATCAGATTTTATTCTCAAAACGTATTATCAATCTTTTACTTGCACCGAGTTTGTTCATCGACTTTTATAAGAGACATACACATAAATATGACCTACGTATTTATGAAATGCGTTGCGAGTTTTCTTAGATTTGCCAGTAGTACTTGTTCTCTCTTTTCTTTTTTCTCTTCTCTCTTTTCTCTTATCTCTCTCTCTCTCTCTCTATCTCTCTCTCTCTCTCT